AGACAACGGAAGTGGACTATGCGTTCTTGGATCTTGTGAGCTAAAGTGGAATATTATGTGATGGAACCAAACAAGAGAGACAAAACAAACTTTTTGTATATTCCTGATAGTCAACTTTTAACAAGATGTTCCTTCATGAAAGTTCTGAATCCCCTTTTGTTTCCTCTCTCTTCCTATTTATAAGGGATATCCCTAGAAAACCCTAAAAAAGTACAATGTGGGAGAATATTCAGCAGAATATTCCTATTCATAATCCCAGGAATATTCTAACAACTGTAATTGTTTGCTCTCTACTCGACCTCGGCACTGGTCTCTCCCTTTGAGCGACTCCTCGCCGTTGAACCGTGCTTGGTTTCTACCTCGGCCTCAGCTCGTCCGTCTGTATTCGCTAAACTATACCTAATTTTGACCCATACAATTTTATGATGTCATGGACTAACAATATGGAGACATTGGGTTTCCCTGCCTTAACCCCTTCTTTGCTTCGAATCTGTCAGTTAATCTACCATTCAATATTAATGTATAACTAACAATAGTTACACATTCCATGATCAATGTTACCTTGTATGGGATCCCAAACTCAAGTAGTATTGATCTCAGGAAGCTCCATTCTACTGAGTCATATGCTTTTCTGATATCTACCTTGATCATGCATCTAGGAGAGACTGCTTTTTGAGTGTAACCCTTAATCAGCTCGTGTATAACATTGTCAAGTATGTTTCTACCTTCTATGAAGGCAGATTGTGAAGGCCCTACCAGTAGATCAATAATTAGTTTAAGTCTAGCAGGAGACAGTAGTAGAGATACAAGTGACTAATAGAGGCAAACAGGCAGTGGTTACTCAAGGATCAGCTGGTATAAAGAGTCATTGGGATATTAATTATGAAGAACTAGCTAGAAGAAATTCATTTGCACCCCTGACAATACTGGAAATGCCATCAAATGAAAGTCATCAGGGACCATCTTCTAGTAATGATAAAGCTCAAAGGGCAGCTGAGAGTACCAATCCTATTAATCATAATCCTCCATGATTGGCCTGGAATATAAGAGGACTGATAAGTCCTATAAGCAACGAGAATTCAAAAAGTTCTTGTTGATGATTAAGGTAGATATGATAGCTTGCCTAGAGACTAGAGTCAAACAACAAAGAGCATAAGCAATACAGAGGAAGATGGGTGCTAATTGGAAGTTCAAGGATAACTATGCTTATGCACCAAATGGCAGAATTAGGATAGGTTGGAAAGTAGCAAATGTTCAAGTCACAGTAATGGATGCCTCAGATCAGATAATACACTGCCTAGTCAAGGATAAGAATTCATCCTTTACCAGCTACATAACCTTTATATATGAACTACATAGTGTTCAGCACAGAATCCCACTTTGGAGAAGCTTGAGGAATATTCAAAGTAATGGACCTTGGCTTATAATAGGTGATTTTAATAGTGTGCTACATGTGGATGACAGAATGAATGGAGTCCCAGTTCATCAAAACAGAGATAACTGACTTTCAAAACTGTATTGATGATATTGGGGTGGGCCAAATCACAAAAAGAGGCTGCAAATTCTCATAGAGCAATAAGAGGGATGCTGATATTAGAATTTATAGTCATATAGATTGGGCTTTTCGGAATGCTGATTGGTTCCAATAGTATAATGGTGTGGAGGCTATTTACATGTTAGCAGGTTGCTCAGATCACTCACCTATAATGATTAATACTAATGTTGTTAAGTTGAAAGTGAAAAAGCCTTTTAGATTACTATCTACAGTGATGCAATTACAAGAGTATAAAGAGGTAGTACAGACTACTTGGAGCCAACGGATTCAAGGTCACTCAATGTATTCAATATGGAGGAAGTTGAAGCTAGTAGATTTACATACTTGGGGCCTTCAACAGGAACACTCCTTAGTTGATCAAAAACTAGAGCAATTGAGAGACAATTTTAAGGAGGTACAGGGAAAGCTTAGTGAAGACTATTTCAACAAGTTACTGATTGAAAAGGAAAGGAAGACCTTGGCACTTATAGAGAAATGGGAAGCAATTTAGGAACAAATAATGAGACAGAAGTCAAGGGTCACATGGATCAAACTAGGAGACTGCAACACTAAGTACTTTCATGCTTATATGAGAGCCAGACAAGCAAGAAACAAGGTTAATTGCATCGATAATGAAAAGCAGATCAAGGTCTCTGAGCCTAAACAGTTACAGAAGGAGTTTACTCAGTTCTTTCAACAATTACTGGGTACAGCAGCAGATGAACTCAGCAGCAGCAACTTTTACAGCCTGTAACACCAGAGGAAATAAGTCAAATTGTGCAAAGTCTTCCTAGTGACAAGGCACCTGGTATTGATGGATATCCTGCTGAATTCTTTAGGAAATTTTGACCAATTATTGGAGGGGAGGTCACAGAAGCAGTAAAAAAATTCTTTGAAACTGGTAGACTACTGAAAGAAATTAACTGCACAACAGTCACTTTGATCCCCTAAGTTCAGAATCCTACTTATGTGAAGGAGTTTAGGCCTATTGCTTGCTGTTCTACACTGTACAAGATCATTGCTAAGGTACTTATAGCTAGACTTAAGCTTATTGTTGATCTACTAGTAGGGCCTTCATAATCTGCCTTCATAGAAGGTAGACACATACTTGACAATGTTATAATGGCACATGAGCTGATTAAGGGTTACACTCAAAAAACAGTCTCTCCTAGATGCATGATCAAGGTAGATATGAGAAAAGCATATGACTCAGTAGAATGGAGCTTCTTGAGATCAATACTGCTTGAGTTTGGGATCCCATACAAGATGGTAACATTGATCATGGAATGTGTAACTACTGTTAGTTATACATTACTATGACAGATTCACAGCAAAGAAGGGGTTAACGCAGGGAGACCCAATGTCTCCATACTTGTTTGTACGGGCAATGGAATACCTGAACAGATCATTAAAGACACTCATTCAGAATTCTGACTTTAATTTCCACCCAAAATGTGCAAGGTTACAAGTTCTACGCATCTGCTTTGCTGATGATCCACTGATGTGCTGTAGAGCAGAGGAAGTATCCATGAAGCTAATGATGGGAGCTTTTGAACACTTCTCTGTTGTTTGGGCTGAAAGCAAATTTGGAAAAGAGTTCATTATACATAGCAGGAGTGCCTATGGACTTCAAAGATAAAATGCTAACTGAGTTACACTTAACATTGGGAACTCTGCCATTCAAATACCTTGGAGTTCCTCTGTCCACAAGGAATCTCACTATCCATCAATGCATGCCACTAGTTGAGAAGATTGTTGATAGGATCAGAAGCTGGACTTTAAAATTCCTTTCCTATGCTGGAAGATTACAGTTCATTAAGAGTGTCCTATTTGAAATGCAGACCTGTTGGGCATAGGTATTCCTCATTCCAAAAAAAGTCATTAAGCTTGTTAATAACATCTGTAGGAGCCACTTATGGACTGGAGTACATGACAATGCTCATAGAGCTCCTGTTGCTTGGGAAACACTATGTAAACCAAGAGCTGCTGGGGGTCTAAATATTATCAATTATGAGATATGGAATAAGGCTGCTTTGACTAAACTCCTATGGGCTATAATGGCAAAGAAAGATAAGCTATGGATTAGGTGGATCCACAGTCATTACATAAAACAGAAGGATGTTACTACCATGGATGCTCCAAAGCAGGTCAGCTGGTTAGTAAGGAAAATTTTCACTGCTAGAGAATGGTGGGCAACTGACTTAACAGTCATAGAATCCTTTGCAACTGATGAAAAATTCAGTATTAAGAAGGCCTATTTACATGTTATTCCAAGGTATCCTAAAGCCCAATGAAAATCACTAGTCATGTTGACTGGAATTATGCCAAAACATCAATTCTATTATGGATGGCAGTATAAAGAAGGCTAGCTACTATCGACAGATTGGCAAAATGGGAAATTCAGGTGCCACAGTCATGTGTGTTATGTGAAAGAGATATAGAAGAAACACATGATCACCTGTTTTTTGACTGCTCCTACTCACAAAGATTATGGGAAGGAATGCTAAGTTGGCTAAGGTATCAAAGAAGTGTCACAAACTGGGAAGTTGAAGTAAAGTGGTTATCTGCCAATGCTAACAATAGAAACCCAAGGAAAATAATTCTAGGAGTTGTGTTTGCAGCAGTGGTGTATCATATCTGGATGGAACGAAATGATAGAAGATTTCAGAACCAGAAAAGAGAGGCCAAGGACAGAGCTAAAGACATTACAAGCCAAGTGCACATAACAGGACAACAGAAATGCAAATGAAAACCTGTATTGGTTACACTGAATAGTTATCCTAACTTGTAATTCATAGCAAATAAGATAGAGGAAAGATCCACGCTTGTTATAAGTGGTCTTTGATAGGCAACCTCAGGGTTGTATAGTTTCTTGTTTTATTGGTTTAGTCTTGAGACCTGCTACTGGAGTCAAAAAGTGCAGGTAATGTAAATTGAAAATCTGGTTGAAATAAATTTTTTTACTTTCGACCAAAAAAAATAGAATTTTTTAATAATATAGAAAGGCAAGATGAGAGGAAAAAATAAGGTAACGACGCGACCACACAAAATCGGTCGTTACATAAATTGGCACTTTTCATCGTTACATAACGACGAATTTAACGATACAATACAATAAAATTTAAGTAACAATCAAAATAAACATTGTATTTAAAGTAATAAAACAATAGGTAACAACCATGCAAACAAGCTGCAAGTAAGAATTAGAAAACCTATCTCCATTAAACCTATTTAAACAATAATCCAAAAAGTAGCAAATACAAAATCCTAAATACATTTAAATTTTCGACTCCAACTTTGAATAGTCTTCAACACAAATGACACCCCCATTCATTTTAGGAAAAATAACCCCCCCCCCAACCCCCCCCCCACCCCCCCGGGAGATTAGGAGTAGAAGCAAATTTTGTGTCATAAACATTCTAACATCTTACAGCCAAAAATTATAAACATCTGTGTTCAAACATAGGAACATTGAAACACCTGACTTCTTTCCCTTAACAAAAGAGAATGGGCACACTGAATCTTTGCAAAACCGTCTGGATTGACATACTTCATTATTTTACATCAGTATTGTGTGAACATCATACACCATTAAATACACATCAAAAGAAAAGAAGAAAAACCACCACGTTCGGAGCTAAATACAGATGTCAAAAGAAGTCGTAACAGATATATTATCACACAAATCTGTTAAATGGTTTCCTTCGAACTACAGAGGGCGTCGAAGCAGTAGAACCCACACTCATATGATCTCCTGTAGAGTCGTGATCCCTTAGAGAAGTAGCATCTTTGCCAGACCTTGGAGTCAAAGGGAACGATAACCTCCTTCTTGAGCTGTTTGATGGGGTATTACCTGTGTTTCTCTCCTCAGGAATGCTTTTTCCTCTGAATTTAGCTCTGGCTGAGATGGTTGGTGACATGTAACTTGGACCTGAAAAAGGAGGACAGCTCGTGAGGCTGTCATCATCCTTGAAGGAGTGACTGAAAGGGGAATTAGCAGCACTAGCTCGGCGTCTTGAGTAATTTGATACGCTCGTACTGCTCATCGGTGATGATGTTCTTCTGGGAGTATGCATTAGTTTTCCCCTTAGTGGAACTGCGGACTTAGTTGACCTTGGTGTAACTGATTCATGACTGTCATTATCCAAATGGAGGTGTCTGAAGTTATGACTTAGACGCCACGGGGTTGGCTTGTGCTCCGAAATTGCCCTTGGTGGAGTTACATGGACGTCTTTCAAAGCAGATTGGCTCTCAGAATCATTTCCTGAAGGTAGCTGGTGATCCAACCAGTTCCACCACCAAGGAATTCCACTAGCTCGGATGTCCACAGCTGATTTAGGGTTGCTTTTCCCCAACTGATAAAAAAAGGAATGCAGACACGGTAAGCCATCATAGAGTACTATGTGTATTGAGTTTGTCAACATGTCTTACCCAAGAATAACACACAATGATCAAGTACTCTGAACCAATGTGATAATAAATGTCCTACCTTGATCGTATTGCCAGAACCCAGACTAATAGGAAGTTGAAACAAGATAATTGAAAGTTCTGATGTTTTGTGGCAATTTGCACAAGTGCATTTTGTTTTGGAAGTCTTTGAAGTGCAAAGGCGCTGACTTAAGGTTAGCCAAAAACAACAAGAGCAACAAACAGGGAGAAATTTTTGTGATGACTTATTACCAGAATTCGTATTATGTAAAAGACTTGGTAAGAAGAGAACTGTTAAGAGAAAATATCTAAATAACTTGGCGAAACGGATGGCGAGAAATTGTTATGATGCACTTAGTGCTGCGACTTGTATAATAGAAAGAAGTGGTAAGCAAGAGAAGCGCTAAGAGAAAATATCCAAATAACTTGGCGTTTCCACAGGCTGCACGAAATAGAATGATGAATTTCTGGCATGATAAAAGCAAATTTACACCAATGGTTACCTCTTTCCCCCCACAGATTCTTTAATTGCTAAAGGACATAAGCTTGTACCTGGTGAGAATATGCATAGGTCATTGCTCTCTCCCTCTTGATTACAGCCTCCACTTTTTCTCGACGCCTTGCTTCTACCTCTTCTTTAGTTAGCACACTATTATCCCAATCATCATGGTTACCTGCCCCAGTCTAAACCAAAATTCTTTTTAACATCAGAGGTAATTCAAAATATGTTTGAAAAAGAAAAGAACAATTCGAGAACTCTCATATACTTATACCACAGTATATGTGCAAAACAAAATCCTAGAATCTAAATTGGCATTGTTGAAGAAGCTGCATACCATCTTTGACCATTGGAAGAATCCATCAATTCTTTGACAAGATAATCAAGGAGTAAAAGCACCAATAATGAGGAAAAACACACAATTTAATTGAATAAAATTAAATCAACTAAAGAATGTAGGCAAACAGTAACTCCAAGATATGGCATCAGCCTAAATCACCACCACTAAATAGGTGAACACCTCAAGATATGTAGCAGTTTAGACTTACCACCTGAGTCCATTTGCTTAGGGTGCTCTCAGCTTCTTTATCATTCGTGTAAGCTTGACTTTGGAGTGTCTGGAATATCTGAGTTCTCCTTGACTGAATTTGCATTTGAACCCTAACTAGAAGCTGCATTTGCTTCATGGCATTTGCTGTCTGCCGCTTTGCATTTCTGTTTCTGACCACTCCTTGAAGTCTTGCTAAACCCCTCAAAGACCTGAAACTCCTCCTTCCCTGTGAAGCAGAGGACATTCACATAGGACATATAACAATTATTATTAGCAATTGATATACTCTCTTTGGAACCAAATATATTCTTGTCCCGCCAATATGAACTGCTCAGGGAAAGGGAGAAAATGAGAAAGGAGTCTAATGTTTTTCTTTTTAATCTTTTTATAAGCAGTGAACTTCTATTCACCCCCTACTTGAATCAAGAGGAGTAACAATCATAACACACAATTCTATATTGTTTTCCTTGACATAAAAAGCTTCTCCAACACGCTGAAAATAACTAAATTACTCGAATATCCAAGAAGCTTTTGACAGACGAATGCAGACTCTGAATTTTCCATGCTTCACGAGCATAATTCTTTAGCAGTAAAGCCATTAGGACCAGAAATGGGGGAACTCACTAGTTTCTTGAAAACGATTTAAGAAGATTTCAATCTCTAGTTTTATACCCTATTTCAGATAATCTGCAAGTTACTTTATTTTTATGAAAATTTCATAAAGAAAGGAGTTCCTGGCCAAGGAAAGTGGTCTTTCTATGATCAGTTAAATTTTGTCCGTTTCACAGACAATCTACTAAAAGAAATAGTGAAAGGTATAAGATCTCCAGAAGCTCAGAATATAAGAATGAATCGTGAAGCATAAATGCTCAAGTCAAACTATCATAAAGTAAATACTCAATGACAAAGATCAAAGGATTTCTGCAGATCAAGTGGAACTACAGTAATAAGACCAATCGTGGTAGAAACTAACTTCGTAGGTAGAAGTGCGCCTGAAACCATGAAACTCATACACGCTTTAATCAGAGGGCTAGAACTTTGTCTACCTGTTACCAGGTTCTGTAACATACAGTAAGGAATTTCTCCATAGAAAAAGCACCCAAATCTTAGACTAAGAGAGCCACAAGTATTTAACAGAGCACAAAGCTTATCACATATAATTTTACTCTTTCATTTTGATGCTTGTCTTTGTCAAAGTTAAATAGTTGCAGCCTCTGTTTTAAAAGGCAGAATTGGGACTCGCCCGGAGCTCGCCTTGGGGCGGAGCACTCGTAAAACGCCTCTGGGCTTATGTATGGGGCTTAGTTCCGTGAGACTTACGCCTCGGGGCGGAGCACTCGTAAAACGCCCCTGGGCTTATGTATGGGGCTTAGTTCCGTGAGACTTACGCCTCGGCCATTGGGGCTTACGCCCCGGTCACGCTCAACGCCCAGCGTACTGGGCTCGCCTAATAGAACTTTATGCAATTGTATGTAACTAACCTTGTAAATCCTCAAATTTCTTAATAAATCGTTCACTATTCAAAATTACTTTTTTCCTAATTATAAATCATTAAGTGAGAGTATTTTATGTCATAATTAAAGTAAAAATTATTGCACGTTATCCACTAAGACTGTTATGATATTTAATTTTAAATAAATCTTACATTTTAAATGTATTTATTTATTAACTTTTGTTATGTCTTTACTATATAATAGTCCATAATTTTTTTTATAATTATTTTTCTAAATATTATTTTTCTCATTATGAGATACAATACTTATTAATTTAATAGCTCGGTACTAACTAGTAACTATTNTATTTACAAATAATTACTTATCATGGTATTGTATGGTGAATTATGTGTCACTTTATGAACTTGTTGAAATTTAAAAATGAACGATGCTTGAGAATCATATTTAAATTGTCAATTATATTTTTATATAAATTCTCTCAAAGCATATCAAATAAAAGGAGTATTTTAAGAAAAATATCAAATTATAATATCGAAATTCTTTCAAGATTCATTACTTTCTTAAGAGATAAATATAAGATTTCGTATCAAATACATTACTTTTGATGTTTGAGCTGTAACAATGTTGCAGCTAATTTGCATATTATATGTCATACTTTTGTATTATTGATAGTTGAATTATAATTTATAAATATTGTGAATAGATTATTTGTTACTCCCTCTGTTCCAATTTATGTGAACATATTTCCTTTTTGGTCCGTTCCAAAAAGAATGAACCCTTTCTAAATTTGGGAACAATTTAGCTTAAATTTACAATTCTACCCTTAATGAGAAGCTTTTATAACCACACAAATACTCTGGGCCCCTTTTTGACTTGTTTAGGACCACAAATTTCAAAAGTTTTCATTTTTTCTTAAACTCCGTGCCCAGTCAAACAGGTTCACATAAATTGGAACGGAGGGAGTATGATTTTGTGATTTTAATGTAATTTTTATAATTATTTTTTATTTTATACCATCTTAAAGTTCTTGAAATTAGTAAAATTTAAAGATCCGTGGGACTTACGCCCCATGTCCCAGGGCTTACGCCTCGCCTCACGCCCCCGCCTTTTAAAACATTGCAGCAGACATGGAAACGAATCAAACGATTACTTGGCAGGCTAACTAAAGTTATATCATGAGTTTGCAATAACTTGACTTGTAACTTATCACTCAAGATCTAGCTAGCTCACAAAAATCAAGCTATATTGTTAAATGCTATTTTCAGCCAAACATTGCATGAGGGAGTTATCTTGAACCTTACCATGTGCCGTCTGTAGGCTCCCTGTATCTTGGTTGCTGCAAGATGGAGCGTCAAAGTTGGTTCTAGTCTGTTAGCATAGCTAATCTCTTTGTGGTTCCTACTCACTTCAGGATAAGTAGCTCTAGGGGAAGAGACTCTCGGAGAAGCTGCCTTAGGAGAGGTTGCCGTTGGAGAAGCTGCCCTAGGAGAGATAGCCTTTGGAGAAGCTGCCCTATGAGAGGTAGCCTTTGGAGAAGCTGCCCTAGGAGAGGTAGCCCTTGGAGAAGCTGCCCTAGGAGAGATGACACTTGAAGAAGCTGCTCTTGGAGAGGCGATCCTTGGAGAAGTAGCACTAGGAGATGCAGCCCTATAAGAACTTTGAGGAGATGCAGCTCTAGGTGAACTGATTCTCGGGGAAGTTGGTCTCACAGGGAATGCAGATGGAATGCCAGATTGTTCAGAAGCAGGAGGCCTAACAAGTAGTTTCTGATCATCAACTTCCCCCAGTATTTTCTCAATACTGCTTGGTTCTCTGAAGAGGAATGATTTGAACTCTCCATGCCTCAGTATTCTACGGGCCTTCTTCTTTTCCTTAGCATTTTTGTTCGCTGATCCCTGTAACAATCATCCAATTTAGGTAAGAATTGTATTACAATGTTTGAACCACAGATATCCTGCAAGTTCTTCCCCTAGTCCTGATATGATCTATTCAGTAATATTGAAGGCAATCATGAACCATTTTATAAAACAGGATCTCAACTAGTTTTAGAAGTTAGGCGAAAAAAAGGGCAACTGAATCAATTGTTGAACTCAGTTTGTTTCTCTATGAGCTAGCATCTTCTGGTAGATAAATAAATGATATGAGAATATCAAGTTCAAAGGAATCGGATTTTTATAAACTTACATAGGTAAGCTTCTTCCTGGAGTTGCATGCAAAAATCCTTTTGAGGGCATAAAACCAACTGCCTTTTTTACCCATGTTTCTAGCATATTACTGTGTCAACCTGAAGAAAAGGAAAATAAACTTAATTGAACACATCCATCGCCAAAGCAACATCTGATAATACTAAAAGTGCACACATGAATTTGCATAATTTCTTATTATACTGAACAGAAATATTCTAGAACGAAAGCCAGATGGAGGAATTTCAATGCATGTCGAGGACAAGGCAATGACACCTAACAGAATACTCGAAAATTTTGCAAATCTTCAATTTACCTAGCTGTCTGTGCCTTCATAAGCATTTTAAGTAAATTGCTATCAGTTAGAGAAGATATTCCATAAGTTTAAATTCTACTTTACACTTTCAGCTGCTGTAAGGTGATCAAGAAAGTGGAAAATTACTCACCACATAAAAGTGGAAATCTGTCCTCTCTATCTTCATTTTTCCACAAAAAAATGGGAGTGGGGGTGGCGGGTGCAAACAGGAAAGTGATTTTTTATGGTCTCTTTAATTTCTCTTGTTGATTTTCCATTCCTTGAGTTGACTTTCAAATTCAACCGTCAAGAACTAGAAGGAATCAAACTAAAGGGTAAATTTTTCACTAGCAACGAAACATAACAAGCAGAAAATCAGGTTATCTATCATCCAAATGATATCATAATACTCTTTCTTTTTCTTTGTTTTAATTCCTTTAGCTGCTTTGCAACCTTCCAAGATAATGAGAATTATTCACCCTTGATGTCCATTTTCCTGCTTGATTTCGAGATTTAACAAGATGGTGATAGGAAAAGCAAAAGGCGCACAACTGCACAAGGAAGACGACAGAGAAAGAGAGATACTTTATCACTAATATTACAGGGTTTAAGGATGAAGTATGTTACTTTGACAGTTACGAAGAATGTAACAGACAAAGAATATTTTAGAAATTATACAAGAACCCCAAAAAATATTTAAAAACAAACAACCATTCAAAAAAAAAAAAAAAAAGATCTACAGACCCACAATTTTCACTACCAAGTCTCACACCATACAGAAAACACGCATACACACAGTGAGTTGAGAAAACAAGGGGAAGGGTTTTTTCAAGAAGAAATATCCTTAACCAGAAAGGGAGAAGAAAGATTTGAAATTCCCATAAAGAGTATTTTGAAAAAAGGTGACATTTTTATCCCAAAAATTAGCATGAGGAGTATGCAGAATTAATCCTAAGAAATCGACCCAGAAAAGTAAATTAATTTTAAAAGAAAGAACTCATGTACGTATACCATACCTCAGATGATGTTTTAGGTCTTCCATAAAAACCTTTCAGAAAGCTGAACAAAAGGCAACTGCAAGAAGAAAAGATGAGCTACCTCCACCTTCAGCTACCCTTTTTGTCCCCCCTCTCTCTCTCTCTCTCTAGAATCTCTCTCTCTCTAGAATCTCAGCTCCACCTTGTGTTCTATATACAAAATAAGATGGTGCTCCTTTTAAATTAGCCAACTACTTCAGAATCTGGTTCTTTGTTGCTTGCTGGATTTCCCCTATCTTTTTGTCGTTTTTTGACTTCTTTTTTTCCTCTACTCCTCCTACCTGGTGAATACTAGTAACGGATACATACCAAATTAATTAGGCTGACCCGAACAGCTTAATTATTAAGAAAAACATTAATAAATAGTAAAAGTTCTTTTTTTGGCAGGGGTTGGAGGTAGGGGAGGTTGGCCACTTTGTCACTCAATAATTGAACAGCCTCAGCTATTAGGTTTGATTCTTTATCTGTATTTCGGTTTGGATTATCTTTCGTCTTGACAACATTGGAGTGACAATGACAGCGATATCTTGGCCTATATTTACAATTAAAAGGAAACAAATATAGTACAAATGTGATACAAAGTTTAGTTTTCACAACCACAATAAAAAGAAACACTAGCATGAGTTATTTTTTAATTTACTGTCATAAATCCTGCAAATGGTTTCATCCACTTGCAACGATGGATATCTTCCATAACAGTTTTAGATTGGCTATGTATCCAAAATAGATTTTAGATTGGTTATGTATCCAAAACAGGTTTTAGATTGGTTATGTATCCATAACAGGTTTTGGATTGGTTTTGTAACAACGAAATATTTCTATAAATAGGTTCACTGATGAACCTATTCGATACTCAAAAAAAAAAGAAATAAATCATCTGTTCTAATGTTATCATTCTCTTCTATTATTAGTCCTAGTTAATTGCTATATTGCTTTTATTTCATAACACGTTATCAGCACGAGGCTCTAATCCTTTCCATTACAATTTTAAGGTTTATTTTCATATATCCTCCAGGTATGTCTTAATACATGTTACATATTTTATATTAATTCAAGTTCTTATAGTAGTTTTTATGTCGTCACAGAAAAGAAATTAATAGACATAAAATAATTATATAGTAATTCATTATTCACATGTATATCAGAAAGCATTTGGTTAGAGATATTGTAAAAATTTGCCATGATTTTTCATTGGTAGAAATACTCGTTAACTCCTCTTAACTGAAGATGACCTTAGTAATTTTATTTAACAAATTTCTTTTAAATTTATATTCAGATATAATACTTTTTTTTTTAAAAGGATATATTTATGTGTAATTGAAATGACTTGATCAAGTGTTTTGGTTCATTCGATAAGTACTGGACATGCATATGTTTCTCACTTGTCATGGAAATTTAACTTGCTACTAATATATTGTGAAAACACTTAGAGTTCTCCAGTAAAATTTTGTTTATGTATTCTATAATATTTGTCAGATACCATCATAATTTATTACAAGTTATTTGCTGCAAATTTAAAGCCTATAAATATACTAATAATTCTGAAGATGGCTCTCTCATTTAAAGAAGAGAATTTTAAGATTCATTTTATTTGGAAGATGAGAGGATAAATAGTAGTTGGCAGATGTGAATGCTTAGTTATACGATTTATTTGTCAATGAATCATAATGATCTCTTAACCAATTTCTACATGGTTGTTACTACTTTGCTGATGGTTTACCTGTGCCTAAAATTTATCAACCAATAGTTAATTATTTATATTAGAAGATATACTTGAACTATATTCAGTTTCATGATATACATGACTAGCAGAAGTGATTATATTCTTATAACTAATTTTGTTTTTGCTTATGACCACAAGAGTGATAATTGATATTTTCATAGATGGTCGGGGGTAAGTCCCACGACAATCTGAGAATAATGCATCAAGTTCTTGTGCACCGTAATAATAAGAGGGTTCGAGTCCGGATGATTAAGGCATAATATGCATTTATGAAGGTAAGACATTGGTTCCCAATGCATCATATTGATGATGATTTTGAAAAATATAATATAATTATCGTACCATATGAATTGGCGTGGTCGTGGCAAGAAACGAAATAATAATCGTCTTCATGGTAGTAATTATAAAAAGGAGAACAATAAGGGTTCTCAATATATCCTTCAAAAGGTAAAGGCAATGTTTATCATCAAATTGGTATGGAAAATAATAAATCACGTCGCAATGATTATACTCTATTTCCTGAAGAGAATGTGACTTGTGATAAACATTTAGAATGGAGACTCATTCCTGAAGGTGAATGTAGCAATATGTGTGTAATGAACAAAGACGCGTTGGATACATCCACAACTCACCTTTAAGGGAGGTTTAAGAGGAAGAAAGATAATTAATATTACTGTGTGGTTACATGAATATGTCATTGGTCGCGTACATGTGGTACGTCAAAAATATATACTGACGTGCCTTATAAAAGGTTATTAAAGGCAAAATTCAATTTTGCTTATGATGACTTTGACCATGACACTTTATTATAATATAACTTTCTTTGTGAAAGAGACATTCACCATATGAATGGTGTGACAAAAGATCTTGTAGTACTAAATCAATTAAGAGCTTCGGAGGAACTAACTTATTATTACCCGGATGAATAAACTTATTCATGACATTGATATTGTAGTAAGTCTCAAAAGAAACTTTTTGAGTTTCAAATGTATAAGCCAAAGTGATTGGCATATTGAGACTATAAATGAAAGGAAGGTTGAATATATTCATATTACTATAATCATACTGGATAAATATAAAAGGTTATCCGACTTTCCTTCTGTTTGTTCTACACAAGTGTCACGATCCATTTCCCACCCGGTCGTGATGGCGCCTCTCGTGAAGACAAGGCCAGCCAACAGAAACAATCAACATTTGCTTTTAACATTTTCTTAGCATAAACAGGTTTAATCCATAAATACTGATTAATCACACGTGCGGAAATAAACGTAACATAACGGAAACAACCATCCCAAACTCAGCCCGATGATCGGGGTGTCACAAGTCACGAGCTACTACAGAGTTGATGAAAAATATACTACAAGTCTGGAAAACATAGTCTGAAGATGAATAAAATATGCAGAAGATAAGGAAGAAACGGGGCTGTGGACGTCGACAGCTACCTCGTCTCTCCTGGTCCGCCTGGTCTGGAAGGAAATCAGCGCTCAGGTACGAACTCAGCGGTGCCTGTCTCTGCACACATGGTGCAGGAAGTAATGTGAGTACTCCGACCCAGTGAGCAATAAAAATGAATAACGACTGAGAATATAAAATCCCACACAGGCACAGATAATGCCATCTCAAACAGTAAAATCAAGTAAACAGTAGGAACCAGTGAAACCTAGCAAGAAATTCTCTTTGAAAACAATTAATAAAACAAGTATGCTCAAGTATGGTCAGTCATTGTTACCTGACCGGTCAGCCATTGTTACCTGACCCAACACGTGTTTCAATGCCATTGTTACCACTGGTCAGCCATTGTTACCTGACTGGTCAGCCATTGTTACCTGACCCAACGCGTGTTTCAGTGCCATTGTTACCACTGGTCAGCCATTGTTACCTGATTGGTCAGTCATTGTTACCTGACCAAAACACGTATGACAGTGTCATTGTTACCACTGTCCAATTCTAAATGGGTACCCGCGCTCATTGTGGGTGTGCAGACTCCGGAGGGGCTCCTACAGCCCAAGCGCTATCAACAAGGCCTGAAAGCCTGAACAGTATCAATACGAGGCGTGAAAGCCTCCTCACCACACTCATCATGCCCTCACATAAGGCCCTCGGCCTTAATCAGTCCAGAAATAGTCAACAGCCCCTCGGGCAACAGTAAAGCAATGATACTCAGCTCAAACAATAGTTTAGATATCAGTTTAAAACTCCAAGTTTGAGTAAATATGGCTGAGTTCAAGAAAACAGTGTAAATCACATGGACTGAGTTCAAATAATATTTCAAACAGTGAGGAAAACAGTGATGATAGTTCATAAAGAGTTCAAACAGTCGGCAATAAGCCCCAAATATGGCAATAAGCCCAAATCATGGTGAAAACAACAAGTCATTGCTAATACGCGGTAAAATATCATCCGGACTGGACCAAGTCACAGTCCCCAATAGTAAATGACCCCGCGCTCGTCATGGAACGCGTGTCTCATCTCAACATAGCACCAAGTTGTGCAAATCCGGGGTTTCAAACCCTCGGGACGTCATTCAAAATCATTACTCACCTCGAACCGGTGAAATCTCTAGCTCGCGACGCCTTTGCCCCTCAAACCGACCTCCACGCACGTCGAATCTAACCAAAACCACAAGGAATACGTCACAATAGGCTAATGAATCATAACCCAATCGAAAAGACTCGAAAAATATCAAAAATCACGAAGTTGGCAAAACCCGAGCCCCGGGCCCACTTCTCGAAAAATTACGAAATTTACATTACCGGATTCCTCGTCTCGCCACGAGTCCATACATATCAAATTCATCAAAATCGGAGTTCAAATGCCCCTCCAAATCCCAATTTTTCATTCCAAAATATAAGCCCTAATTCTTCCAATTTTTCCCAATTTTTTTCCAAGAATTAAAAGTAGATTCTTCAAATAAATGATATTTCTAGACCATAGGACTTACCTCCAATTACTTCTCAGTCAAAATCCTCTAAAAATCGCGTCAATAGCTCCCAAGCTCGCTCAACAATGGAGGAAAAATGGTGGAGCTCGCGGATGAATTAAACCCCCTTTAAACCTTCTGCCAACAGTCCTTTTTCGCTTCTGCGGTCCCGCTACCGCTTATGCGGGACCGCTTCTGCGGCCAAATGACCGCTTATGCGGTTTTTCATTAATTACACAGCTTCCGCTTTTGCGATTCACTATCCCGCTTAGCGGATCTCCCCAAGACCGCTTCTGCGGTTAAAAAACGCGCTCCTGCGGACCCGCTGATGCGGAAAGGGTCCGCTTTATGCAGAACTCTTCACTCAAGCACCAAAATCGCTTCTGCGCCCTTATACCCGCTTCTGCGGAACCGCTTCTGCGGTCATTTCCGCAGAAGCGGAAATACCAGATGACAGCAATTTGCAGACCTGTACAACTTCAAAAACTCTCGTTTAACCACTCAAATTCACCCCCGAGGCCCCCGGGACCTCAACCAAAAGCACCAACCCATCCTAAAACCTTATTCAAACTTGTTCCAATCCTCAAAACACGTCAAACAATGCTAAAACTATTAAATCACATCGGATTCAAGCCTAAGTTTCTTAAAAACTTCCGAAACTCAGCATTCGATCAAAAACCCAACCAAACGACTGTCCAAATGACCTG